ATTAGTGCCAAAAAAGATATTGGTAGGGGGCAGGCATGCTTTGTCTTCTTGAGCCATGGAGAGGTCAGTATATGTCACAACAAGAAACCAATATCTTGGTGCTGCAGTGCAAAAGTCATGACTCTGTGCATTCTCATGAACCTCATTTTTAGGCATACTTTAGCTTAGAAGAAGAACAAAGGCCCACCACAGCCAGATACACCAAGGTGGAGCATCATAAAATCTATAATAATACCTAATGAAAAATGGAACAGGATGCCATGTAAACTATGCCTTTGTTGTGGAGTAAGCAGACCTGCAACCTGCACAATGAAGCACCACTTGCAGTTCTTTTGGGAGGGGTCACAGCAGCAGCCCATGAGCTCAATGACAGACTAATCTGACATGCCCCAAGTCCTCAGCTCAGGTTGTCATACTAATAAAGTAATCATGGGTAGGTGCCCCTGGAATACATGGTTTGAGACACTGGAGAATATTATCCAAAATGGCCCTTTTTCTTCAGAACGTGAGAGAGATGGCTCTAAATTCAGCCCTGGTATAAGAGGGTATAACTGTTGAAATCAATGAAGTTGCAGCAGGGCTATAATTAACCCTGTTAAACTAAAAGCTGTGAATACCTCATGGAATTGGCATGAAGGTTTATCTTTTTACTATGATTTTTATGGTTGCTTTGTGAGCAGGATAGGGCTTTAGGTGGCTTTAACAGCAAACTCACCAATGCTATACATCCTTGTCTTCAATGAACAAACTTGACCCTTATATATATATATATATATACACATATTTTTTAGTGTTACTCCCATTGAGTTCAATTGTGCATGATTTGTCTCTCTTCTTACTGGGGTGAAACTTCTCCTGGTGCAGAGGCCCTACACAAAGCTGTGTGGCCACTTAAGCTTCCCATTAAGGACTGAGTCCAGCTGCACTTGAGGTTCCTTGGAGGAAGAACTGGTGAAGCTCCTTTTTTCTGAGGGCAGAGATGGGGTGATTGAGGTTTGCATAAGGAATGAAGATTTCTGGTGTGGTGTAGAGCTTTGGTCCGAACCACCCCCTTTTCAGGCCAGGACATGGGGAAGAAGTAGCAGGAATGATAGGGCAGAGGGAGAAAGAGAGGGAATCTCTGTCAGGACACCATATAAGGTGAGCTGAAGTAGCATTCTTGGAATGGCTCAGCTGCCTGGTGGAGGATTACATCCTCTTCTACGCCTCTCCAGTATATTTATGTGAAATCCAGCTATTGCTGTTAGCTGGAAGACTGGATTTTAGCTTAAGGGGTTAATTGACACTTATGTGCTGAATTGGATCTTGTTAGAGTCTCTGCACTGAGCTCAGTCTCGCTCTTGAATAGGGTGACTGACTTCAGTGGGACTTTCAACAGGGATACTTAAGTGAGTAAGGGGTGTGGACTCGGGTCCTAAATGTACAAAGATTATTTAGCTCAGCATACGGTGCAATGAAGAAAAATTTCCACCAACTTAATTTATTATGCCATCAACAAATGTCTTGTGTAAAATGGGATCAAATAACTAAATTAAAATAACACTGTCAAGAAACTATCCTGATGAGATCTGTCTACAAAGGTTATGAACAAAATGATTTGCCTCCACTTAAAATAGGAGTATTTAGTTTAGTTGTACTGTACCCTGCTAGGGCTCAGGTTTCTCAGGATTGTTCAGGTCCTAGAAACCAATATGCTGCTGACATCCATGGACAACTTCTGAGGCATGTGTTTCCTTCTTGTGGTTGAGACATGAACGAATACCTGAAATAGATTTCCCCATAACCCATGGAGTCATAACTCACAAAAAAGAATAATCTGTGATGCAGGATGTGCTACTGTATTGATCAATGGAACTAGAAAGCTGTAGTTTAATCCTAAAGGCCTGAGAAGGCACTTAAGATTCCTGCAGGTCATTGTGTGCCAAGGGGAAGGTGTGTGTGTCTGTGTGTGTGTGTGTGCTCCCTGCTCAGACAAAATTCTCATTGCTGCTGAAGTCATTGGGAGTTTCCTTTGAGCATGGAGGACAATTGGTCTCTAAGAGCCCTGAACTCCACCCACACTCAACGCAGAACCACTCAGATACCTTGGACAATGTGAACTCTTACCTATAGGGCTAAAAACAGAAGTGGGGGGGGGGGGGAGTATTGGCTCAGTGTTGGTTGGTGTTTCAAATATCAAAAGGAAAATGCATTTGTCTCAGTTCTGTCATCCTGATTTATTAGGAGCTCAGAATGACAGAGCGCAGACATAAAAAACCTTGCCGTTTTGGGAAGGGCTCAGAAAACGTTAATTTGCTTGTTCCACACAAAAATGTAAAGTGTCAGTTCTCTGATTACCTGCTTCTGGAAAGTGTTTGGACAGGTGCTGTGTTTCAGTAGTCATCTTTCACAGCCGACAGGCTTGATTTACAGTTGTAGACCATAGATTTCCCTTCTCAGCTTTGGTCTCAATGCTGTGGCTGCCAAGGTATGTCAGTAGTGCTCTGCAGCCAGGAAAGGCTGCCTCTGGACTGAGGAGTAGCTACACTACCTGGATGAGATTCTAGCATAGGATCGAAATAGAAAGGGGTCCTTAATGATCTACAGGCTCCTCCTTGAGGACACAAGACTGCTCCTGTTCTGGGTATTGGAGTGTCCTTGTCAAACTCTAGTCACATTAGTAGTAGTTTTGTTAGTCTCATTGAGTTTAATGTGATTACTTCAATGAATAAATGGAGAAGGATTTGACTCACTACATCTCAGGTCCAGTTTATTTTGCTTGGGACCACTAAATCCTCTTATAAAACCACTTTCCTCTAGTAACTAATAAGCAATCAACCTAATCAGTTACTTAAGCCACACACACAACCTTTAAGAAGTGTTTATTGTGGGGAAAAATAGTTCCACTTAACTGAAACTAACTAAAATTCCTAGGTGGCTTTTTCCATTTCTGAAGCAGCCAGATGAAAGAATGTAAATATGGGGAGAGACATTGCTTTGAAAAGGGCCCAATCCTGCAGTCCTTACTAAGCAAAACTTCCACTATTATTAGGGAGCAGGATCAGACCCAGAGACTTCTTAAATTAGTAAAGATCAGAATGTAATCTCATATTTTACTAGGTTTAAAATATCTTGTGGGAATCTCTTTTGAGTCTCCCATGCTGTTCATGCATTCTAATTTGGCGCTTGCAAATTGCCACCTGGATTTGTAGCTAAAATTACCTGGGGCACCTGGCAGAACCCTAATATTCCTGGGAAAAAAATCTGAACAGGTGAGCATTTGATGGGGAAAAGTAAACTAAACCTGCCAGGACTGGTGAGGCTACAGTTATCAAATATAATAACCATTATCTACAATCCTGAAATGCACAAAGAGGTAAATTTGAAAAGTTGGTATTCATCTAAAAGATTGAAATATTTGAAAACACTTTTGTAATGGTATCCTTTTTATATTTCATTCTTTCTTTAAAAATTGTGATCTTTTTACAAAACAGGATTTTAAAAAGTGTTCCACCTGGTTTGATTTTAAAAATACTTTGGTTAAATTTTAAACAAAAATACTATATTGCCATCACAAAGTACAACTAGTACACTCTGAAATCACCCCTAAGGGTAGGCAAAACAAGATGTTAGCCCTGGTCTAGAAACAACTAAATTATCGATTTTACTATTATTATTTTTAAAGAGAAACTAAAAACACAAGCTATAGCAAAAGGTAGATTATGGAAAGGCAAATTAATATTTGCATAGGGCCTTGAGGATAAAATGGTATTTAAATGCAAAGAATTTTATGGAAACCAATTCCTTTAATGGTTGATTACTATACATTAGACACTGATCTGTCGCGGTGCTCTTATGGATGTTATGGTTTGAGCTAAAACACATAAAATCTGTGTTTTATTGATCCAAATCTGGACTTTATTGAAATAAGTAAGCGTTTTCGGTTTGAAATTGTTTAAGGCGACTAAGTAGAAGGCTTCCTTTTCTGCGGGCATTTTTAACTATTCTGCAAATTGCTCTGAAGAAAAATTTATCGAATGGTAAATGGAGTGAGGGAGATAAGAAAATTCAGAGAGTCAAAATATAAATAAAATACACTCCAGATTTCATTTTATTCACCTTCCGTAAATATGAGAGGGTTTAAACGGATGGGGTGGGGGGGAGAATACAAGTTTCCAGTTGTTAATGCATTCAAAGTAGAACTTTTAAACTGAGTTTCGCAACGTTGTTAAAATCATAATTAATAACCCCCCCAAAGATTGCACCTCTTGCTTTTCTTTTCTTGGGGCTTTCCCGACAAGCCTTGTATTTAAAGGGAGAGTGTGTGTGTGCGCGCGTGCGTGTGGTTTTATCAGTAACCGAAAACACATCAGGAGAAAAATGTAAGGGGGGAAACTTTGCTTCTACCAGAAGCAGTTAGAATCAAGTTGAACTAACAACCTTCCTGAAACAACTTCGTTTGTGTAAGGACATGAGACAATAGGCTTAAGTTTCATCTCTGTCCTCTGGAAAAAGGTACCGCGCAGATTTTTTTTTTTTTACGAAGCAAATGTTTAGCTGGCACTCATTTCCAAAAGATTATCTTTCAACGGCCAGTCCTTCTGAAAGAATGAACATCAGTACTCGAACACTGTTTGACACGAGGAATTAAACAGTTATTTCAACTTTGTAGCTAGATGTTTTCTCTGGGCTGGGGAGCATGCTTCTTTCAAAAGGAAGAGAAATCCGACAGACCCGTCTCAGTTAACAGGAATGCTAATGAATTTCTGTTCATCACACATCTAAACGCTAATGGGCACTAGGGAGGGGGCTGACAACAACAACCAAAGTCTCTCCCAAAAATGCAGTTGAGCCAAGTGCTCTCCTTCAAGGTGAGGGCTTACCTACCTCTGTAACCTGCTCACTTTCTTTCCGTCCACACAACTTTTTCGCATTATTTTACAGGCTTTCCATGAAGTCGGTATCAATCCCCTCCCCGCCCACCTGTCTTACACAGAGACATCACGCTATTCCTTGTGGAGTTCTTTTGCAACTTTTATTGGAAAATAACCATGAAGCCTGAGGGTTTTCCCCCCCATAAAATAGTCACGCACAAATATACAGAGGAAAAAAAAAACAACCCTTCCTGTCTTGCCAGTGATCTTATCTCCAAAAACACAACTAAGAAAACAGACGGAGCACAGAAAGAGACCACGGTCGACATTTCATTGAACCCAACATAACGATATATATTTTTTAAAAAGCTGCGACCTGTCGTGTTAAAACACTTTTTTTAGTTTAAAACGTATAAATAAATCCACCCCCTCCCCACGAAATGCTCGGTGCTGTATAGGGGGGTTTATTTGGCACAGTGATGCATTGGTTCGGAGCAGAGAAATGACCCAGCAACCTCTGGCACCTTTTCAGTCGACCAGCCCTCACCCTTGGGTGCACAACGCACCCCAAACCCGTAGTCGGGACTCAGCCTGATGGCACTGGTTCCCTGGAAAATGACACATGGCTTTGCGCAGAGAGAAACCAGCCCGAGAGCAGATCAGGCACCCGCCTTAAGCCAAGTAGTTTCAACAATGACTAAGAAGCACTTTGGCCCCTTGCGAAGTCCAAATACAAAGCGCCCCACTTTGGTTCGGTTAAAACCCCGCTCCCCCCCCCCCGGCACAGTCACTTGTCTCCGGATAGAAAGTGCAGAAGCCAGAGCCTCGTCCTCCTCCCCGCTCCACGTGTTCCCCACCTCCCCCGCTTTGCCCCGGCGTGGGGGAGGAGGGGGGTCTGTATTAAGGCAGGAGGCTCTCGAGGGGGTAGGGCGGGTAAGAGGCCGGGAGCCCCGTGGCTGGGTGCAACGAGCCGGGCAGTCGGAGGGGGCAATAGAGCGGGGAGCCGAGCAGCGCCTCGGAAGGGGAGGGGAAGAGCTGGGGAGGCTCCGGCGGGTGGGGGGCGCCGCCGGCCGTCAGCGCCTCCCTCCTGCGCTCCAGCGGCGCGGGCCCGTAGGCGTAGAGCGGCAGGAGGCCGCCGCCGGCGTAGAGGGAGGCCGGCGGGTGCGGGTAGGAGCCCAGCGGGTAGGGGGCGGGCGGCGCGCCCCAGAGCGCCCGGCCCGGGGCGGGGGCGCGCTGGAAGGGCCGGCTCAGGATGCTCTCGATGGCGAAGGAGCTGGAGAACTTGGAGCCCGGCCTGGCCGCGGCGGCGCCCGCTC